ATATATATATATAAGTAAGCTTTTTGAGCATACGAAGAACAGAGAAAGAGGATATATAGAAAATACTGAATTTGGTCCTATAATCTGTGGGAGTGAGTATTCAGTATACTTATTTTTACACTACGTACCCTTCTGCCATAACAGGAAAAAACAAAAAACAAACAAACAAAAAACAAACAGACGACAACAACAAAAAGGCATGAACATATATAGGAATGACTAGTGAGCGGTGCATTTCAAAGTTCTAGAGAGTAAAGTACATAACTGATATATAGTTGAGAGCATTTAAGGAGCCGTTGAAATATTATAGTTTAACTGGGAAATTTAAACTTAATAGACGGGCACATCTAAAAAATAGATTGATATTAAAATTAACACAATTGGGGGTATAACTTTATATTAATTTAATTTAATTTCACACTTCACTTCATTGTAAGTATGACGTTTAAATTCCTCTTCTCCCAATCTTTAAAAAATTAAACACAATTGAAGGCATATGTTTGAACTGACTTTAATTAGACGCCAACACAACAAGACAATCTTTCTTTACTTTCTTTATTCAAACATTCAAATGCAATAAGTCTGACATATCTAGGTCGAGTAATTAAGTTCTTAAGGCTATGTTTGGTAATTGGGGGGAAAAAAAAGAACAAGGAAAAAGAGTTATACAACACACATATATCTCATTAATCAAACATTTGTTCTCATAAAGGGAGGCAAGTGCTAATTGCAAAAGTGAAACCGCTAACTCCATTTTCTACCATATCAAGGTTTTGTACTTTAATTTCGTTTTTCCTTTTTTTTTTGTTTTTTTTTTGTTTTGAATAAAGCTATTCAGCATGCATTTACTCCATGGTTAAGGATAATATCGTTTTGTCCATTCATGAGGCAAGGATCGATATATATATATATATATATATGTATATATATATATTTATAAATTATCTCAGATCCACTCTACAAGTGGGACTCGTGAAGTTTTTCTCTCTTTGGTCTTTAACTATTACATCGTTAGGAGCTAGGAGAACGTGATCTCTCCTCTTCAGTCTCTCGTTGATCTGAAAGTGATTAAAATAATGTCAGCAAACACTCATGAAATGACAATGAATCAAATATATTATTTCTTTATGGAACCTATAATGACCGAGAAAATCTTAAAATTAAATAAGTTAAATTTATTTATTTAAGTTAGGGGTTTTTTTTCAAGAATTTACTGTCATATTTTGTGACTGAAGGATTTACGGAATTAATATCAGTATTCTTAAATTATGTAGCAAGTTTTATGATAGTTCATATTTTAAGAATAAGTAAATTCAGTTGATAAATTCGTACTGCTATTAAGGCGGAAGAATTCTTTGTGCATATACAGTTTGAGAATCCTAATTTCAGGAATCTTTTAGTGTAGTATAATGTTAGTAGCGTATAGAGAAACACTCTGACATTTAAAGAGAAAACCCTTAATTTCTAAACAGATAAGAGGAAATTAAAGGGGTAGTGTTTCAGTAAAGAAATTCAAATGCAATATGAGTTCAGAAGTTGACAAAGTCGGGAATTGAAATTTCCTGTCAACTAAGTAAATTCTCAAAAGTCAGTATGAAGTAATAAGAATAGCTATAAGAATAGAACATCAATGGGTGATTACCAAGTGTTCACTAAACCTTGATTATGTAAGCAAGATGACATCAAGTAAGCAATTAGAAATTTAAGTTAGGTAAGATACTGTTACAGACTTTCAGATTGCAATAAGGAAGGATGCGCAGAATGATGTGTTAAACCCACAAGTGGGCCAACACATGAATCTTAAGGTTAAGATGTGAAAAAGAATTTAAAAACATCAATTCTAGGGTTTTAGAAATAATCAGAACAAAAAACGGATGAAAAATGGGTCCAGAATGTCAAATTGGGATTTCTGGCTGATTAGGGTTGACCAAGTCAAAATTTATTGACCAAGCGTCGATCAATAAGTCACTCTTGAAAAGTTAGTTAAGGTTTAGTAAAGTTGACCAAGTTGACCAATTGTCCAGAAAACGCAGATAAAATGCATACCAGTTAGAAATTTAACTGAACTGAAAAAGAGATAACCATTAAATATGGATGGTTGAGATTTAAAGTGACTTTTTAGATGAATGGCTGAGATCTTGCCATTTGCTTAGTGAGGTGGCCGGCCAAGCTTGCACAAGAAGCCAAGAAGAGATATTTTTGATGGATTTTTACAAAAAAGACCCCAAAAGTTAGGAAATTACATTTAGACCCCTCCTTTTCTTCCTCCAACGTGTTTAAGTGTAAAACACATAATTAAACACTCTCTTTTTCATGCCAAAAATGAGAGAGTGTTCATCTGAGAGAGAGAAGAAAAAAGAATTACCAAAAGTGAAGAAAAGTAAGTTTTAAGCGGGAATCGATCGAACTACTAAGGATTAGTGACTCCAGAGTTTGTTCTTCATTCTTTTAAGGTGAGATTTAAGTTTTCCTCACCTTTTTCTTACCTTGGCCAAATGGTTTGGATGTGGTAGAGAGTATGGAGAAAGTTTGCTAAGTTGATAATTGAATTTCAATTGATGAAGGAATTGCAAGCTTAGTGATTAAATGATGAATTTTTTATTGTTAGATTATGTTTCTAGCAACTTATGGATATGAAAATCCTTGTGAGAAATTGGATGGAACCCTAGAGTATGGTTCCTAAGTTGATTAAATTGTATGAGAAAGATTGTTAGTTATGATTAGAAGATAAAGTAACAAATAAAACGAGCTAAGGATAGCTCGGGAAACACATAAAATAAGGCGAAACTCCGCCGAAATTTAGTTTGAGAATTTAAAGTTAAACCTAGTTTTAGTTTTAGAATTTGAGGCCAAACTTGGTTTTAGTTATAGGTAGAAGCTTTAAATTATTTTCTTAGAAAACACTGCATAACTGTTAAAACAGTTTTGGTGTTGAACAGAGGAGTTCGCTGAAGAACTCGTAGTATAATCTCAGAAAAGTATGTCGATTTCAGACTTTGCTAATAAAAAGTAAGGTTATCAAGATTCAATGAACCTAATCTTTAAATTAGAAACATGGTTTTACAATCCTTTAAGATAGAAAAAGAGAAAGTAAGCCATAAATAGAGAAATTAGACTTTCTTACAAGCTTGCTAAACTAGAATAGTAAGTGATAGTTAATCTCACACTCTTAGTGGGTGTTTATTCTCAGAAACAAGAAAGAAAGAGAACAGACTCTTTGGAGAATAAAGGATTCCACTTCCTAAAACAGGTAAGTAGGAATCTCACCTACAGTATTAATAGATTTTAAGATAAACAAGACATATGAATTATATGTGTTAGAGTATATTATGATATGTCATACTGCATACACCTTAATAAGTCAAGAGGAACTTATAAGAATAATCTCAGTTGAGTGTCATACCAGCCTCCTAGTTGAGAGGTAATCCAGTTTCAGAACCTCCTAGTTGAGAGGTAATTCAGAGCCTCTTAGATGAGAGGTACTCTGGCCCAAGTGAGGCATTCAGTTCAGTTTTAATTACGGGGTCGATGGAGGCCTTATGAATCCTCACGTTCCGTATATCGCGTGCAATAGTACTAGCACTCGGGCCCATCAGTAAGAAAGATAAGATCGGATAATAAATCTATGATAAGAAATCCTAATTCAGCATAATCAATTCATGCATATCATTCATGTGAGCTTTCAGTTATTTTGCAAGTAATAGTTCCTACTTGCTTAGCGAAAGCTCATTTCAGAGTATTTATATTGTAGGTAAGTAACCTGCACATAATGCTTGATGGACTGATGGCGA